ATATATATATATATATATATATATATATATATATATATATATATATATATATATATATGTATATGCATCATATAACTCAAGATATCTGGACATCCTCTGACCATGATATAATAGTAAATAAAACAGTTGTCAAGCCAACTTTCTGCTACAAACAGAAACTCGTAACTTTTCCCCCGTCTTCTGATTGGTCCACTGCTGTGGAACTGACAGTGATGAGCTCTGGTGCATGTTAAAGTTGAAGATCTGTCAACTTGACATGAAATCTAAAAAATGTGGCTCAATGTGTCACACACGTCCAACATGTTTACATTGAAAAACACTAGAAAAAAAGCACAATGGAGAGAAAAAATGCATTCAACAGCCCATTAAACTGTATAAACAATCTTAAATCTTTTTATCAGTGTATGATTAATTTTTTAATTAAATATTTAAAAAACAGAATAATTTACATAAAGATTCAAACTGTTAATTGGAATGGGTCAGCTTTTAATATTTCGATTAAAAGACAAGAAATGCAGTTAACAAAGGTAATTATGAAAATTAATCTCATGATGGTAGAAATGACTTCAGAAATCTTTTGGAAATGTTTATTTTTGACCCTTAATGTACTGTAGAAAATTAACTGTATGTTTTTTGTTTTTCATATTTAGGCTTCATACCTTGATAAACCTTTTTGATGAACAGTGAATTGAAGTTTTTAAAACTGAAAGTGTTTTTGAACTAAGTGGATAATAATACTGTTTTTGTTTTCCTCCAACAAGTAACGGAACAAGAGACGAAAATACCGAAGAAAACCATAATAATGTAAGTCTCACACATGCACCTAAACATGAACAAAATGTGGATTTTTATTCAGCATTGAAAGAATTTTTATAATATGCATATTTGATTTTTAGAGTTTTTGAAATGTCTTAATAAATAACAAATATTGCTTAATCACATATATATATTTAGATATTTTAGCACTGTATTTAGTGGACACAATGTAGTGAACGACAAAAATAAAAACTGACCAAATGTGGAACAAATCTTAAAAGATTTAATCAGGATTAAACCAATTTTACTTCAAATATATGTTGCTAAAATGTTTAAATTGTTTAGTTTTATTGCAAACCCCTATGTAATATCATGTTATTATTTCACGTTTTAAGTACAAATGGCGTAAATAGCTGGCAGCTAGCTCTCTGCAACTCTCACATGGTCGCCTACTGAAGCTAAGCAGGGCTGCGCCTAGTCAGTATCTGGATAAGAGACCACATGGGACAGCTAGGTTGCTGCTGGAAGTGGTGTTAGTGAGGCCAGCAGGGGGCGCCCAACCTGTGGTCTGTGTGGGTCCTAATGCCCCAGTATAGTGACGGGGACTCTATACTGCTCAATGAGCGCCGTCTTTCAGATGAGACATTGAACAGAGGTCCTGACTCTCTGTGGTTGTTAAAGTCTCAGGATGTCCTTTGAAAAAATAGTAGGGGTTTAACCCTGGCATCCTGGCCAAATCGGCCCTCTGTCTATCATGGCGTCCTTACCATCCCCATATCATAATTGGCTTCATCACTCTGTCTCCTCTCCACCAATCAGCTGGTGTGTGGTGTGCGGTCTGGCGCAAGGTGGCTGCTGTCGAGTCATCCAGGTGGATGCTGCACACTGGTGGTGGATGAGGAGATTCCCATGTGTAAAGCGCTTTGAGTGTCCAGTAAAGCACTATATAAATGTAAGGAATTATTATTATCATCATTATTATTAAAATAGACCCTTCAATAAATGGCAAATTCATGTCAAATCCAAGTGACTAATGGAAGTGGATGGATTTTTTTTTAATTAAAAGAAAAACAGATTTGTTGCTTTTGCTTTATTCACAGATGTTGTGAAAAATTCATGACATAAAATTCCATTTTCAACACGCATGTATGAAAACCAAATGCATGATCCATGAAACAACATTAAGCTTTACACTTTGCTTTTTTATTTGAACTAGAGTTCATTGTTTTTAAAAGCAGCACAAACCCTCAAATGACATTTTACATCACGCACGCACGCACAAATACAAAATACACAAACCTCAAAACAACACCAAGTCTTACACATACGCTTCTATTTTGATTAGAGTTCATTGATTTTAAATCAACACATCCAACAAACACAACATGAACGTTTGAATACAGAGCTAATGCTTTTTGTCAAACACACATCCTAGGATTTTTGTGGTAAGTAATACCTCCTGCGCATGGATCTAAAATTTCCATATCAGTAACAAACGACAAGAAGATTTTTCTACACAATGAAAAAATCGATGTAATCTGAGGAGAATCGGACAGAAGAATGATAAAAATGTGTCAATGGGACTGTACTTTTTGATTTACAGTTGAATTATTAGCCCTCCTGAATTATTAGCCCTCCTGTATATTTTATTTCCCAATTTCTGTTTGACAGATAGAAGATTTTCTCAACACATTTCTAAACATAATAGTTTTAATAACTCGTTTCTAATAACTGATTTATTTTATCTTTGCCATGATGACAGTAAATAATATTTCAAAAGATGTTTTTCAAGACACTAGTATTCAGCTTAAAGTGACATTTAAAGGCTTAAATCATTAGGCAAGTCATTGTATAATGATGGCTTGTTCTGTAGATCAGGGGTTCCCAAATTTTTCCCAAAATAACAAAGCAACTGACTTGCGAGTTGCGACCCCCAATATTCTCTGAGGTGGTTATGAATATATAAACCGTGCACACACACCAATAGGCCCCAGTCTATTCATTGCTTAATTTTGGAGAGTGCCACTCGGAGACCATCCTCATGGCCTGCATTTATTTTTAATTATATATCATATTTTAATTATATTTATTTATTGTCTTCAGCAACATGTTTTGTTGTGCTGGTTGAAAGTCTCTTCACATTTCCACATAGTTATGATTAAAGTAAATAATCTGGATGTAAATAAATGTACATCCACAATTAAATATTGTTGGGCTGACAATTCATATTATTCCGACAAGGAGCCCAAAGAGTCTGTCAGCAAATGTAGATTTGTACAAGGTGTCAGAAAGTTTAACCTGGTGCCATAAACTTAATGTGCTGCATCTGACACAATTGCTGTGTCTTTAATTTAAGGGGTTCCCAGGGGTCACAACATTTTGTTTATTATGAACATGTCAACAATGTTACTTCTAATTTGTTCCTCTGTAGATTTTTGGAAATTGCTAAGCAATCCCCCCTGGGGGGTTTCCGACCTCCACTTTGGGAACCACTGCTGAAGACAATCAAATATTACTCAAGGGGGCTAATAATATTGACCTTAAAATAGTTTTTAAAAAGTTGAAAACTGCTTTTATTGTAGCCAAAATAAAACAAATCAGACTTTCTCCAGAAGAACAAATATTATAGGAAATACTGTGAAAAATTCCTGAATCTGTTAAACATCATTTGGGAAATATTTGAAAAAGATGAACAAAAAAAGTACATGAGGGCGACGCCACCTTATTGTACATGAATGAACAGTTCATTTTTGATATCAGGTGAATATTAGGAAATATATATATATATATTTTTACAAAAAATCTGATATAATTTCTATAAATTGCTGGTGTTTGATTTGATCAAATAATCCAGGTAACACCAGGAAAGGCCTTTAAAATACATTAATTCAAAGCTTTGAAATAGTTTTGCATCGGTTTCAATCAGGATTATCCCGATTATCCTGAGAAGGGTACAATTCAGGAACAAAATATATTACAACTTTACCGTTGGTCAACATTTGTAACACACAGTAAACATCAATTTTTTAAACATCAATTTTTTTTCCCTTTTTTTTTTTGCATTCGGCTTGCCTAAAGGTTGCAGTGATAAAGTACACATTATATTGATAATACTTATCACACACCAATCACCACGCTATATAAGAAAATTACATACATGTTTTTGACAAGTGATGAATATTTAGCTTAAAAAAATGAAAAACAAAAACACAAAGTACAAGTTTGGCTTGATTGTGAATGCGTATCAACTTAAAGCAACTCTTTTACTTAATTATTTATTTATTTATTATATTTATTTATTAATTTATTCATTTATATATTGTTTATTTAATAATTTATTTATTTATTCATTTATTTTGTTTTGTTTTTTTTTGGTGTTTTTTCCTTTGTTTTTCTGAAGCCCTTTTTATAAGTTAGTTAACTTCCGTCACAGCAAGATAGATTTCCAAAATTGTGGGCAAATGTGAAAACTAATTTCCAACGATAAAGATTGTCAAGTTTAGTTTTATATATAAGATCAGTTTTAGATTAAGATATTCTTTTGAATATGTCGTGGCAGACGTCTCACCTGTGGGAAGGTAACATTTACAGCATCGAGCACTTGTACACCAAATAAAAAAGTGTGCCAATTTTAATTCAAGCACAAGTAAAAAGTGTGCATGTTTACAGTATGCCTCATATGCATATTCATGTTTAAAAGCATGAATATAAAGGCAAACGGGTACATACGCACGATTGCATGACTGTTACGAAAACCACCAATATTTAGTCTTGAAAAGTAATGAGAAAATTGTAGGTAGCAAGGTTATTATAGTTTAGCATTTTAAATTAGTTTTACTTTGATACTGTTTTCACATTTGCTGTAAATGTTAGTTCTTTCTTTGGTGGTTTTGTTAGTTTTAGTGTTTATATTATGTTTTATTCATTTGCAAATTTAGACAGAAACTAATTTATCTCAAACTTCTTTACAATTAAGATCATGCATGTATGTAAACATGCCTAGTTTGCAAGTTTTTAAAATATGTTTGGTTGTATAAGCGCTATCTACAGGTTTAAATCTGAAAATTAGGATTTATTTTTGCTAACTATTGTTTAATTTCAGTTAGTTTTTCTGGGACGTTGTTAGTTTCAGTTCACATTATCATTATTTTTTTAATTTATTGTAAATTATTTGACTAATATTTTTAGTCTGAACTGTAAAAAATATCCATAAATGAGCAGTTTTCTGTATTTTTGTGATTTATTTTTATTATTTTTCCTCATTTATTAATGCTTTTGAATTGCATTATGGGAACTTTTAACCATTAAAAGTTAAAAAGGGGACTTTTTTGAACATTTTTAATAGTTTAAAGTGATATATTGTCTGGGTTGGTGTTGTATATAACCTTAAAAACTGCCAGTACATTTTCTGTTATTCCACAGACTTATTTCTCTATATATTACTTTTTATACATTATATTACTTTAAACTACGAAAATGTCAATGAAAGTCAATTTGTTAAACTGTAGAGTTGAATTTTCAGCATCAAAAGTTGATAGAGCAGAGATCAACATCCCGTAATGTAATCCACAAGCATGAAAATAAACAGAAAACACTTGATGTGAATCACAAAATACGAAAACGGTTCATTAACAGATACTTCAGTTTTCGTTTACTAAAATATCCTTGGTAGGAATATATCTTGTGTGACAGATAATTAACTGACATCAAGGGTATTGCACAAAAGTAGAATGAAGAAAGCCAGGATAACAGACAAAGTTTGGCTTGAGTTTAATCAGCACATCCTGGCTGAGAACACAGTGCTATGTCAAGCCGGTGTTGATATCCGGGATAATGTTTAATGCATTGTTAAACCAATGACGTAAGGGTGGACAAAACCCGATGTAAGCCAATCAGGTAACAAGTTAAAAAAACTCCCCTCTCAGCCACTGATCTGGAATTGCCCACTACTCTCCAGCAGAGGCTTAATGGAAACTTATGTGGAGGTGAAACAAGTTTAACAAAATGAACACTTTGCCTTAAAATGTACCCATACTTGAGAAATTTAC